AAAATAGAGAATGAAGTAAGGTGGGAGAGAAAAGAGAGAAAGAACATTTGGGTCTGGTCTTTTCTGGCAACCAAGTCCTATAGTAGCTGGATCTTATCTGATTCTCTTTTTGCCAGATAATTATTATATTTTTAAAGGGAGATGAAGGAGTACAAGAAAAGCAAAAAGATGTTAGGAGAACTATTTAAATAGGTAGGTAGGTACAAAAGCTAAGTGAATGGATGGATAGATGAATAGATAAATAGAAAAGTGCAGGAAAAGGAAGAGGCCATGAAAAAGAAACATGGATAAAATGGTATTTATAAAAGGAAAGAAATTTCAGAGACATAACAGTTCAAGACCTAATAATGGATATAATATTATAGTTTGGGAATTAATATGGTCTTTAAGTGACAATATTTATATTTTTAAGAACAACAATGCTAGAGAATAGGAACCTGGAATGTCATATAAACAGCTGGGAAATTCCACTAGTGACGTGGCTTACAGCAAAGAAAGACATTGTGTGAGTACCTGTCCTTCCATACAGCCACTCCTCTACACCAATTATAATTCCCAGACTCTCCCTTCCTTGCCCAGAGGATCTTTTCATCCATAATTTCATTTTAGTGCTGGCTGATCTTTGCTGAGTTTGTATTTATGGAATGATTTGAGTATTTTCCTAAGGGAGCAGCAGGGCTCAAGAATTATCTGTATGCAGGAGAGTTTCTGCTCCTGCATTGATTTCCTTGTAGGATCTTATTCAAATTATCAGGCTCTTTTAATGCTTCAGACAATCAAGCAGTTGAATGGTGCTTGAGGCATCTTGGTAATTCATGAGAGATCTTTATTAGCAAATTATTAACATCAAGCAAGTGGTGCACAACTTAGAGCACTTGTCAGTGACACTTAATTTAGAAAAAGAAAAGGAAAACAAGAAAGTGAAAAGTTTCTGATGGTAGGTTTCCTCCCAATTCAAGGTATAAAAAGAACAAGTTCTAGAAAGAGCATGTTTTACCGAAAGCAATGCTCATATCTATTTCTATATTTCAGATGTTAATATGAAAAGAGAATTAAAAAATCTGATTCTTGATGGCAAGGCCCAACCTAAAAAGAATATAAAACCATAATCCGCACACCATTGTGAAGTAGCTATATTAACTGGAACCTCAACCAATTGGGTGTCAAGATATACAAATCTGGAAATATGATTCTAATAACTAAGACTAACTCTTTGCCTGCTGAGGGTTTTTGGACATTGTTCATTCATACTTGATGGAAAATCATATTTCCTACATTTAGCATGTCAAAAGCATGGGATGAGTTGTGTCACTGGAGAGTTGAGTTGTTGCAATTGTTCGAAAATAGCCCTTAAAAAAACAAACCGAGAAGCATTCCACACATGTTTTGCTATGGTGACATGCATTATACTTTTGGTTAGATCCAGTATATGTATGCATGAACTCATGTTTTTATAAATGTCTGCCAGTGTAATTTTATTTTGCAAATTATTGTTTATGTCCTTAGTTTTTGGTGATGCATTTCCTTTCAAGTGGCAGAAGTAGCCACTTGAAAGGGGAGGGGGCAACAGGTAAAACAATGTGCAAAAGACATTGCTAAAAGCATCAATCCTTCACTTATCACATTATTGAGGAAAGAGTCATCTGCCTTTCAAGCGTGATTAATTGGAACTAAACAGGCTAGTTACATGTTAGTTAGATCTATTAAAAACAACAGGACTATTGTATCTCATCTATAAAATACTTCCTGTGCTAAGAGCTATAAAAGTGCTTATGAGCACAGTTGGGATTTGCATGAATTCCATATTTCATACAGCATCAAAAATAATGATTTTTGAAATCTAAATCTGCTTTTATTGTACCACAAGTATCCATGTACCCAAAACGTCATAACTCTAAAAATCTTTTATATCTTGGAAACACCTATTCTTTCATCCAAACCAAAAAAACAAGCTGCAACATACAATTTCAGATCAAGTAAAACTCTTTCTTCCTTTTTCCTTTGCATCTTGTATCGCTGTATATGGGCAGACTGATATAAACGAAGAAAGGCATGTGATAAAGAGCTTTAAAGTTAAAACCAGCACGTTTAATTCATGTTTTTCCCTCGACATACAGTACACACTTAAATATATTTTTAGCCATTATTTAACTGGTAATTAGTTGTCAAAACAGAAACATCATTCTAGGCAGAATATTCACCTTTATCACAGAAATTCTCCTCAAACATGACAATTGTAGTTTCTCCCATCTTAGTATGTCCTTGATATAACTAAATTCCCCATGAAAATATAATGCTCTTTTATAAGTAAAATTATGTCTGAAACTAAATTTTCTTATACCCCACATATAGTTTCAGAAAGTGCAACTTAGGTAAATGTTCATTAAAATGTTAATGAAATGACTTATTTCCATCTTGAACGTATAGATATTCAAAAAGCTATTTTTACAGTCCAAATACAGTAATAGAAACACATGTCTCATCCAATGTAGTTTGAGCAGACTGGTTTCACACATCCGCGAACATATTATATGGTTTTCTTGGTTCTGGTTGCCTGTGTTTTGTGAATTCAGCCATGATGGTTGCTAAACCACAATCTTAAAATTCTCCCAAACTTAGGAAAACAAAATCAACAATCCTAGGTTCAGTTATTTTCTTCAGGAGGGGTAGATTGTAATTGACCGGAAGATGTCTTCATTCTTGAAAAAGAAACTGTTTTAACTGTGCCCACTACATCTTTATGGGTTCTTCCCAAATGTTCAGCGCAGCCTTAATGTCACCAAAAGTTTGCCCAATCCTACCCCAAGGAAATTTCTCTGCCTTTGTAAGAACTGTGTGGATTAGTTCTAAAACTATTCTATCATAGAAAAACACCCAAGGAAGCCCATGAGTTATAAATGTTGTATCTTCCTTGGAAGAAAAGCATAATCCAAGCATTAGAGATGCCTGAGTAAGATTTTTTTTTTGCCAACTGAAACTATTATTTAAAAAATCTTTATTTTTGCAACCATGGAGTAATTGCCTCTACCTGTTTTGTTTCATCTACACTGTGTATTACCTTTCTCTATAGCCATTTGGAAACATTAGCTAATAGTAACACATTTTAACATAGAAACCCTTAAAGGAACATTAGATTCAATTTAGGAACCAATTACTACTAACAAAGTACAGAAATTTTGGAGGAAAAATACCCTGTGCTCCATGACATATCTTTAAGAAAAAACATGTCTTGTAGGTATCATTAGGCAACAGTTTTTGAACCAATGTACCTCAAAAGGGTTAATTTACAGTAAGCCCAAAATCTGGAACCTGTGACTCCTGAAGGAATGAAATTTGGGAAAAAATGTGGTTGCTTCAATGCTTGTGATCTGCCTCCGCTTCAGCCCCACCAGGCTGTTGCTGCAGACACGCGATGCTCATTTTAAACCTTTTATAACATTTTTATAACAGTCATTTTCTCAGTCCCTCACTGTCTCCCATACCCAGCAGCAGTTAGCAAGAAAGGAACTTCTGTAATCTCTTTCTGGGACATGGCACCCCCTGACACACCTTCCCTGACCCCACCATCCTCTCACACCTTCCCTCTCCAAGTGGTACCACTTGTGCACTCCCACATATCCTCCCCAGCTAGGTTGCCCCAGACGCCTTCCCTGAGCTGTACAACATCTTTTTATTTTTTATTTTTGATCATTGTGTTTCTCTATTTAGATAAAGAAATATCTCTGAAACGATGACCCAACAGGGGAATGGATTGTCTAATTTGCTTTAAAAGTGAGACAGGTACAACCCTAACAATGAAAAGTTATGAGGAAATAAAAAACCCTAAATGTATTATCTTGATTAAAATATACTAAATGTGACAAAAGAAAAAAAGAAGACTACTTGTCAAAAAGAAAGAAATTATCTATGTAACATCTACTGGTGTCAATGCAATTCAATATTTCTTAACATACGGACCCACTGATCCTCCAAATTTGGATAGTTCAATTCTTTATTCCACAATTCATTTTTATAACTAATATTTTACTTTTATTTTTAAGCTGTTCTTGATAAAAATGGATTTTGGGTTTCTCTTCAAGCACTCAATCTCTATAGGAACCTAAAACTGTAGCTCTTTTAGAAGTTGCTGAAGCATCTGGACTATTCAGCATGTGTTTTAGTTGCATATGTTGTCAAGTGAATTTTGTGAATAAATCAGAATGCAGCCTCTCAATATCTTTAAAACAGTCATTTAAATTAACTTATTTAAAATATTGATCCAATGGCTCATGCGGGGATTCCAATAAAACATGTTCCCTACCGTTTTCAAATTAGAGTTATTTCCCAGTATTAATTTCTCATGTGATTCAGGTTCAAAACGTAATCACTTACCTATTTAATAACCAAATGTGCTTGGCAGCTTTCAAGATTAGAGACAAAGACCCCCGTTTAATATACCTGGACTTGAAAACTTGCCAAGATTTGAGAGGTGTTATATGCTTAGCCTCCAAATGAGCCCCAAAAGTGGAAAACTCATAGAAGACTATCTTACTTACTATAGCAAAATAAAATCAAGATGAAATCAACACAAATGATCCCTAATATCAGTGGAAGATATTTTTGTTGCAATAGGCTGTAATTATTTCTTTCCCTTGAATATTTTATAATAATACTATTTTATGATACTTTTCAGTGTGGAGCAAAGAGAATGATTCATTTGATATTGTGGCTGATGTATTTGGGAAAGAAATGTGCTGACACCACGCAAGAGCTGAGTGTAGCTGAGATTTCTGAAGGCAAATTTGCCTTAAGAATAATTTTCTTTGGCTGGGGAAAGCCAGATGAGCCAGCCTTATGGAAGACAAAGTAACACCCTTATGGCAACGCCCACATTGCAGAAAGTATAAATAGATACCTGGGTATATGTCAGCATTTGCAGTCTATCTTTGCATCAAGCTGTGCATCTTTGGCTTTATTATTTTTTTCTGGCTCCTTGATCTTGCTTCTAAAATTCATTTGACATGAGTTGCAGGTCCAAACAGACTATGATGTACACCAAGGGGAGAAGCTCCAGTAGTAGCTGTGGTGGAATAAGGGTAGTTTCAGGAATCTCCGGGAGAGGTCCGTCCTCTGTTGTAAGTAGTGTTGGAGGTGGTGTATCTGGGAGGACCTTTTCTAGTGGCGTCTCTTATGGAGGGGCAAGTTGCACTGATGGTGGCTTTGGAGGGAGCTACGTGTATGGTTCTGGGGGCAGTTTCCGCTTTGGGCAAATTGGTGGTGGCTTTGGCATTAGCAATGAAACCACTTTGATCTCCTGTGATGAGAAGATGACCATGCAGAACCTCAATGACCGCCTGGCCTGTTACTTGGAGAAAGTGAGAAATCTTGAGGAGGAGAACGCTGATCTTGAAGCCCGAATTAGGCAGTGGTATGACCGACAAGGCCCACCATCTGAGCTAAAGGATTATAGCTCTTATTATCAACAAATTGAGGAGTTAAAGAATCAGGTATGAAAATTGTTCTTCTACAATGTGCACCTATATTAATAATCATTCTAGGCATGCTATAGGTTAGGCCTTGATGCTTTGGGATTTAATGTAGAAATATATGTTACATTAACTAGGAACAGAATGGCTATTCGAAGAAGGAGATAGTTAGAGTTAGCATTAGGGTTGGGAAATACTATTTGGGAAATGGTTCTTGCCAAAGCTAGAGAGCAAGATCCATCAAGGATTTGATGAATGAAGAAAATCATGGCTGAGAGAGGAAAGCATGAAATAAGTCCAGTGCATCCCTTCTGGGTAGGGAACACACTGAGACTGGGAAGTAAAATTAAAGGCTAAATTTGAAGTACAATGTTGTGACAATTAAGAAGTAGTAGGTGACAAAGTTCAAATAACATTATTCTTTCCCTATTGCAGATAGTTTGTGCCACTGTGGATAATAGTAAGCTTATCCTGGATATTGACAATAACCGCATGACTGCTGATGATTTCAGGTTGAAGTAAGTGTCACTTGAATCACATAATAATAATAATCATTACAAAAATTACAAAAGGTCATACAGCTTGGAACCGCACACATCCAATGCCGATACATAAAGACATTCTAGATTGTTGGGAAAATTTGATATGTATAAAGACCAATTCCAGCTAAAGAACTGACAGCTGTGATTTCACATTATTGTGTATATAATAAGTTATTAAACTTGTATGACACATGACTCTTGCAATATTGGTGGCTCACAACAATCCAACAAGGAAAGTACCAATAAAAATACCAATAAAATATAAAAACCACACATGAAACAAGTGCCTTTTAAAATTTCCTTTTCCATAATGGGATAACTATCAAATAATCCACAAATGAACCCTCCACTGCAGAACAGCACAATGAAGTAAAAGAGGGAATCCTTTTCATACAAGTCTATTCCAGAAGAATAGATTTGCTAATGATCCTTATAGATCTAACAGTGCTTTTTCTCCCCCTTCCTTTAACTATGATGCAGGTATGAAACTGAATTGGCTCTTTGCCAAAATGTGGAAGCTGATATCAATGGATTGCGCCAGGTCCTGGATCAACTGACTCTCTGTAGATCTGATTTAGAGGCACAACTTGAATCCCTCCGGGAAGAGTTGTGCTGTATCAAGAAGAACCATGAAGAGGTGAGTTTCCCTTCTCCACGTTACCTATGTTGCTATTATTCATGGTAGGAGTGGGACTGAAAAAAATCTTTAACTTCTGACTGAACATCCACATCCTTTTGAACTTCATTTGCAGGAAATTAAGAGTCTGAAGAGTCAGACTTGTGGTGATGTTAGTGTGGAAGTTAATTCTTCCCCAGGTCCAGATCTGAAGAAGGTTCTGGAAGAAATGAGATGTCAGTATGAAACCATGATTGAGAACAACCGCAAAGAAGTTGAGCAGTGGTATGAACGCAAGGTATGTTGTTTCTAAATACGATAAAATCGAGTTCACAGAGTCATGTTTATACTGTAACAGCTGACAATCTGAGCAGTTGCTTATGCAGTTCTGGGGGAAAAGCACCACTTAAGGAGGAAGACTGATTTTCACAACATTTACATATTCTATTTTCAGTGTAATAAATGCGCATTGAAGTAATGCCACATATCCATTAGGAAAGGACTGGACCAAGTAAACTATGTTCAGGACTTTGCTATTGAGAGGCAACTTCAAGACTATTTGCTCTCCTTCTAGATTTGAATTGAACACCTCTTCCTACAGCATATTTATAAGTATGATATATGCTTTCCTTATCATTAAGGGGCAGTTCTGAGCTGAAATCTGGTCCTTTAGGGGTAACAGTTTCTCAGCTCTTCCCCCTGTTTATATTGTGAAATGTTTATAGAGGCAATGAGAGAGAATAAGCAAGATAATCCTATTTCACTCATCCTGGGATGCTGCACTATTTTGGTCTGTCACAACTCTCCCATTTAGAAATCCACAACTGTTTTGGTTAATGACTGAACTTCATTATACTTATAAAAACATTTTTGGCTTTCAAAGACTGCAGAGGGGATGGCGAGCCCATCAGGAGGAGCAGAGTCAACATTTTGAGTGTGTTTTGGGAATAGTGTTTGTGGCATATTTTCAGCTACTTTCAGAAAACTCCAGGTTTGTGTTAGGCCTACCAGAGAGTAAAAGGATCTATCCTCATATATGGTCATTCACCTAGAATGGGAAAAGCCAGACCGGAATACCATGCCTACCTTTGGTGGTGCCTTTTATGTTTAGAAAGGACAAATCCAAGCTGGAAATGAAACAAAAATGTAATACATGGTGATCATGGTAAAGGAGGGCTGGCCATGTAAAGAAAGATCTTCAGAATATTCCTTATGTAATTAGTGGTGAAATCATGAATATAAGTAAATGCATTTATTCATGTGAGCTGCTAACTCTAATGACCCAAAATAAACATGGAAATCCTCCATTTAATTTTCTACTTGCCGGCTTGGCACAGTGGTTAAGGTGCTGGACTCAAAACTGAAAGGTTTTTTGGGTGATTTGAGCCAATTATAATTTCTCAGCTCTCAATTCATGTCATGTGATTGTTGTGGTTGGGGAAATAGGTAATGGCAGCATACATAATGCTGCCATGAGTTGTACAAAATAAAGATGGGGTATCATCACCAACACTATCACTCTCATATCATGATATTGTCCTTACTATGAATATAAGTAAGCCTATTTTAATAATTAAAATGTATTGTTCCTCAGCATACTTTAAAAATAGGACAACACTTAGAGCATGCCCTTATTCTCTTTCTTAAAAATATTTCCCCTTACCAATATTTTAATGTTTCCAAGGTTCAAACTCATCTTGATGTCAGTAGTTTCCTCAGTAAAGAAACTGTTTCTTAATTTCCCATCTTATTTTTATGCCTTTTCAGATGGAAGAAGTGAATCAGGAGGTCTGCATCAGTAGCAAAGAAGTTGAGGATTGCAACAATCAAGTTGTTGACCTGAAACGTCAACTGCAAACCTTAGAAATAGATTTGCAGGCTCAGCTTTGCTTGGTAAGCATCTCTCTTATTTAAACAATAGACTTTAATTTCTGATCTGCCTCTTCCATGAACTACTTATTAGTCATAGCAAGTATAAGATTCATACTGATAGAAAAGGGACATTTTTAAATACTTTCTCTACGGTATCAAAGATTGCAACTCTAGAAGACTACTATTTTAGGTAAATATGCAGATCTGTAGGGCCAGTCAACTCATGAGACGATTTTACAAGATGATGACTATTCCTGGGCCAGGACTAAACCAAGGGGTTGGTTAAAGGCAAATAGGTACAGGGCAAATAGAAGCAAAGAAAGAGAATTGGGGAACCTGCAACAAAAGGAATATTAGAAGTAACTGATGGAATGGGGAAGGAAAATATTTCTACGCTGTAAGTTATTCATCATAGCATTCATATATATGTAATTGCCAATGACTTCTGTAAAGGGCATTTCATGTCTTCACATATACAAAAATCAAAGCATTATTTCTGAAGTACCAAAGATTATCCTTTTCTTTGGAAAAATGTAGCCTGTAGGATACATTCTTGAAATTTTTTAGCCTTGATTTTCTATTGGTAACTTTCACTTTTTAACTTCTTAAGAGGGAATCACTCCAAGACTCCTTGGGCGAGACTGAATGCCGCTACAATACCCACCTGGCTGAAATACAGAACCAGATCTCCCTTGTGGAACAGCAGCTAGCAGAGTTGAGGGCAGAGATGGAGTGTCAGAATCGGGAATACAGAGAACTTCTAGATGTCAAGTGTCGCTTGGAACAGGAGATCCAGACCTACCGCTCCCTTTTAGAGGAAGGGCAGCAAGACATTAGGTAGGTAGATTATGGCAAACTTAAACATTTTAGATTTTCTACTATTCCTTCTTTCCTACTAGCCCCATAACTCTTCTGAGGTAGAGTTAGGTGTGCCATTACACTAAGGGAAGCAGCTACCTTCAACAGTGAGTGTAGGGTGTAACAGTAATTTATTTAAATTTATTTTTATTTTACTTCCAGAGAGGTGTATGTGAGATTTTATTCCTTCTGTATTAGACCTATTTCCTGCCTTTACTTATCATGGACTTTCTGTGGACAGAGGAGCCATTTGCTTCCTGCAAGGCTAGATCTGTTGAAGATTAGAAACTAATCTGTTGAAGCATCCATCTGCTCATGGTCACATTTTTAAAGGGTTAATATATGGATGACTCAAACAAGATGGTTTTCTTTTAATTTTAGTAAATTTAAATTCTCAAACTGTTCAAAAGTTTTGAAAATCAATACCGTAGGTTAATTATCAAACACAAAAGACTCAATTTTCTGGCAAACCCTATCAGTTTCTCAAGAAGATGATGATTCTAGTTTATTAGATTAATTTGCCCTCCCAGTCTCTGGCCTTCAGCATCTGCCTCTACATATGCATAACACACAAGAGGATACCTAAAAATGCACAGGGTATGGTGTCTTTACATTACAGTGCTACTGTATGATAACTAACAATGAATGAAAATGGAGCTGTCAGATGTACACATTATCTACTTCAGAATATGTTTGAGTTCTGTATTCATTGGGAATTTGTAGAAGCATAGGGTTGACATAGATGCAGCCTGGCCATCCTAGGAGAAAGAATGCTGGAACTAGATAAACTTTTGGGCTAATTTAGTAGATCTCTTCTTCTGCTCATATAAATTCACCCAAGGAATCCTCTGTTCTCATTCTTCTCATGCCCTGCAATCATATACCATAGAAACAGCACAAATAATTTCATTTAGTGCTATCAATATATATTTAATACTTTTTTTGATCTCATTCAAGGGTAGTCACCTCTCGCCTGGACTACTGTAATGCTCTCTACATGGGGCTCCCTCTGAGGAGCACCCGGAGACTCCAACTGGTCCAGAATGCGGCCGCGCGGGCGGTGTTGGGAGGGACTCGTCGCTCCCATGTGACACCGCTGCTGCGCGAGCTGCACTGGTTACCAGTGGTCTTCCGGGTGCGCTTTAAGGTGTTAGTTACCANAATTGGAAACACAGCTGGTAATATTTGGTTTTAATTCGGCTTTTATCGGGGTTTATTTTTTGTATTTCTGTATTTTTGTATTTTGCATTTTTTGTATTGTGTGTATATTATTTGTTTTTAATATGCTGTGAACCGCCCTGAGTCCTATGGGAGAAGGGCGGTATACAAATTAAATTATCTATCTATCTATCTATCTATTTCCCTCTTCTTTTTTTCCAACAGTAGTCCAAGCAGCAGCCCTTCTGGAGGTGGACTTTCCAAACATTCAGGAGGAGTTAGAGTCCTCTCTCATTCTTACAGTAGCTCTAGTCCAGGCCAGGCCTCCTCTTCGGACACGAAAGGTAAGGGGGAAGTGTCCCTATATTAAACATGGAAACTAATCCTTAAAACAAACAAACATTTTGCTATATATATATATATATATGCAAAATTGAAAAATGAACCTTTCTTGGAAAGGAAATACAAGCTATTTTAGCTTAGCTTTGGCCTGTCCAATTCTTGTATTGTCTCTACAGATTCTACAGTCATTTTTATTTCATTAATGTTTTTAGATTGATATCCAGACCTGTTCCTTTAAGTCCCTGGACCATGCAGCCATAGATTAACTATTGTGGCTCTGTTACTCACTTACTGAGATTTATTAAGATTGTTCTGTCCCAACTGTATCTGAATTTGTTCTGAGTGAACATGTAACAGACTTAGCAATGTGCATATACTCATTCCAGTTCCTTATTTTAAGGTGCATTTATACTTCCAAACTGAAAATCAATCAGATTAATGAATCAGTCATCTAGCTTGTATCCCCTGACATCTTTTGTTTCATAATTCAGGAAGGATTTCTTAATTACTTTCTCAACATCTTCCATGTTAAGAGGGTAGGCCATATTTATTAATTTGAGATGTTTTCATTTCTACTCACAAAGTTTTCTCTTTCCTTTTCTTTCTCTAGGATACAGCAGATGAATGAACAATAAGATCTTCAACTAATAAAGGCTTCGCAACTCTATTCTATACTGCACACTGGTTCGTATCAGTTAGCAAAAGAGGAATCTTCCCTCTAGTTATTGAACACTGTTCATGGCAAATATCCATCAGTGGGTTGTCTTTTAACTAGCAGATTTGCCCACCTCTCAAGCTTAGATATGACCATTAACATGTGCATTTCTTAATTTCTGTGGTGTTGCTCTTGGATGTTCCGCTGAAAATGGGTTTTCAATAAAACTGGGCTTCTAGCAGATGCAAATCAAACTTATGCCTCTGTGTCATGAACTTATAGATAAGAAGTTCTGTGTTTTGTCCTTTCTGAAACAGGTTCCTATATAATTGCTTATTAAAACAGCAAAACATGGTCAATGAAAGTTATTTAAATATTAGAATATATGCCAGTATTTGTTATTTATTCCTTCTAGAAAAAAAGATAAAAGCAAGGCTACTGAATAGCTAATCATTGGGGCCAGATACCCGTGGATAGCTTTTAGGGCATCAAATATATATTTCAAGAGAGTTTAATAGCAATATTTATTTATGTATTCATTACACAAATTTTTATAGCTTCCCAACTCACATCTTACATTTAAAAATCCATCATGTAATAAAAACCCTTAAAAGCCCCACACTCCACTCAACATGGCAACAATAACACAATCAAATCAATCAATCAGCTCCATCTTCATTTGTGGTTCCTAGAATTACTGACAAAGCCATGGTTTTTGGATCTTTTGGGAAGGAAAAAAGGAGGTGGTCAACCATATTTTAGGGGGAATGAGGAAGTCTCTTTCTTGTGGTGCCACCAGATGTACTTCCCTAATCGATGGGACCCATAACATGCACTGCCTTCCTGTCCTGGTGGGCCAGGTGGATATAATAGGGGAGAAATGGTCCTTCAAATAGCCTGGCTTTCTTATAAAATATAGCACTACTTGGATCTTTTGTGGCAGATAGTTAGGGCTGACATGTCCCTATTTCAGATTTCCCACATTGAGGATATATTGGATGCATTATGGAAAATTTAGTTAGAGATTCATATGGAAGCCCTGTGTAAAGCTCCCAAGACTAAAGAGGTAAACAACTCAAGACTACTGTGTCCCATGCAACCCTCGGTTTACTTTCAAGATCTCTCTGCAAGGAATCAGAGTTCTGATAAAGACCTAACTCTATTTTTTGTGCAGCCTGCTGTTTTGAACAAGAAACAAGTTTCAATAAGCTTTTTTTTTTTTTAAAGAAAACAAGGGGGGAAAAAAGTGATGCAAGAGAATCACGAGGCATTCCCACCCTGTGATATAACAAAGGAAAATCAACCAGCCTTTTGGTCTGTGGTTTCTGCCATCATGTAATCAGAACCTTTCATACACTCACTTCTGGATTTGATCCCACACTTAACAATGAGTTCTCTCATGAAAACATTAATGGGAAAAAACCCTTTCTATTATAAAGCACAGGTGTCTTTTTTATCAGTCATTTTGAGGGAATGTCATTGTATATTTTGGTAACATTTCCTTATTCTAATAATTAGAACTGGAAGATGCCCTGGCTGCTTTGATAAAAATACAGACTCTACTTTGTTTTATGGCTCAACTTCCTACTTTAAACATGGCTACATAAACAACATATGCCATCAGAAAGCCATGCAAGAAATCCAAGGCCTGTTTGTTCTTGTTACAGAATACAAGATGTGGAATAACAGATATACTGTAGGTTACAGGAACTTAGATTATTTTTAAATGTTAGAGAAATGATCTTCCTAGTTATAATTTTGACAGTGGAATCAGTTGCTCAAAGAGGGAGTCAATCCCTCCTTTATTAGATATGTTTATGAGAGGGTTAGATGGCTATTTGTGTGGGTTGCTTTAATTGAGATTCCTGTACTTGGCAGGAGTGTTTAGACTCAACAGTGGCCTAAGTGTCCTTGTTCAACTTGATAATTCTATGAATATTTTTCAAGTGAGAAGACTTTAATTGTTGCTTTGATTATTAAATAATTATTGACATGAAGGTAATTTAGTCAATGCCAATGGTGATCAAGTGGTGTTCCAGTTGTTTATTGCACCTACTACTATTGGTACTTCTGTGCCTTTGCTTTCTTTTGCGACAGTCATGCTATTTCTATTTGTGGGTCTTTGTATTTTATTATTGTCTCTAGTTCTGTCTCTTCTATTCTGCTGTCTCCAGGTATTGTTGTTATTACAATAATTAATTTAATTATTATTAATTAAGTGTATATTATTGTGTTTTCGGTTCGCAAGCAATTGACGAAGATGCATGGTATAAACAATAGCTCTTTATTCTCCTTCTCCAACTCCAAGCAAAGAGAAAAAGGCTCGCAGGCCTTTTATAGGGTGAGGAATCCAGCTAGTGCTAACCAATAGGAAGGCAGCGTTTTTCGCACCCTGCGCATGCGCACAAGGCTGGCGCCACTCAGTCTGGTCCCGGGCAGCATTTGCAATTCCAGAGACCATTTGCAACCTTTCTGGGCTGGCTGAGTTTCCTCGACAGGCCCAGGACACAACACCCCTCCCCCCTAGATAGAACGCACACACAATTCCAATTTCTTACAATAATAATAAAAGAAAAGAAAATAATATTCCACTCCATACAACACCCTTCTATAACTAATAGGGTTGGCTAACCAACCACTCTGTAATGTGGCTTCGCGTGTCTATCTATTTTCCCAACGTAGGTTCATCTCCATGACCTAGACTTGTAAGGTCCCTTGTGTTGACAGGAATCTCACATAATTGCCTAGATGCTTAGGAGGGGCCTTAGCCCTTTGTGACCTACGCAAGGTTAGGGAGGGGGCCTGGCTTGTCAGCTCACCTGCTCGGCTAGGCAGACCAGGACTTGTACTTAAGGACGCCTGGCCTACTGGCCCGTCTGATGGGCTCACTAGAACAGGACTTTTATGCACATGTTTTACAGGTGACCCCTGGTGAGGCGTACTGGAGAATTTGCCAGAGCTCTTTCCAGGCTCCTGTAGAGCAGCTGGAATTCCCCAACCTTCTGAATTGGCTGAGGATTCACCCACTACCCTGGATAGCTCCAGGGAACTAAATCCCTCGAGCCCGCGACCAGTCTCGGACGTGACCTGCATTGCAGAAGTGCCCCAATCGTTCCACTCCCCAGTGGCTGAAGTGCCAGAGTCAGGAGCGCCTCTATGGCAAACTCCCCCTCAGGTGAATTCCTGTTTGGAGCTCTTGCGGATATGCAAGACTCCCAATTCAGAGCAATAGCTGAATCATGAGGATGCCCATGCTCCACGCTTGGGAAATCCCTAGTGTCCTGCGGTACTTCCCAGGAGCAATGGGGCAGGGTCTCAGGATGTTGACCTGAAGTGCGATCTTGAGGCAGGGTCTCAGGATGTTGACTTGAAGTACAATCTGGCTCCTGGGCCCACTCCCCATGAGAGCGGAGGCAGGGTTGGAAGAATCATGGACAACCTTTTACAATCCCCGGGACCATTTGCAACCTTTCTGGGCCTGCTGAGTTTCCTCAACAGGCCCAGGACACAACACCCCTCCCCCCTAGATAGAACGCACACACAATTCCAATTTCTTACAATAATAATAAAAGAAAAGAAAATAATATTCCACTCCATACAACACCCTTCTATAACTAATAGGGTTGGCTAACCAACCACTCTCTAATGTGGCTTTGCGTGTCTATCTATTTTCCCAACGTAGGTTCATCTCCATGACCTAGACTTGTAAGGTCCCTTGTGTTGACAGGAATCTCACATAATTGCCTAGATGCTTAGGAGGGGCCTTAGCCCTTTGTGACCTACGCAAGGTTAGGGAGGGGGCCTGGCTTGTCAGCTCACCTGCTCAGCTAGGCAGACCAGGAGTTGTACTTAAGGGCGCCTGGCCTACAGGCCCATCTGATGGGCTCACTAGAGAAGGACTTTTATGTACATGTTTTGCAGGTGAGCCCTGGTGAGGCGTACTGGCGAATTTGCCAGAGCTCTTTCCAGGCTCCTGTAGAGCAGCTGGAATTCCCCAACCTTCAGAATTGGCTGAGGATTCCCCAACTACCCTGGATGGCTCCAGGGAACTAAATCCCTCAAGCCCGCAACCAGTCTCGGACGTGACCTGCCTTGCAGAAGTACCCCAATCGTTCAAGTCCCCAGTGGCTTAAGTGCCAGAGTCAGGAGCGCCTCTATGGCAAACTCCCCCTCAGGTGAATTCCTGTTTGGAGCTCTGGCGGATATGCAAGTCTCCCAATTCAGAGCAATAGCTGAATCATGAGGATGCCCATGCTCCACCCCTGGGAAATCCGTAGTGTCCTGCAGTACTTCCCAGGAGCAATGGGGCAGGGTCTCAGGATGTTGACCTGAAGTGCGATCTTGAGGCAGGGTCTCAGGATGTTTACTTGAAGTACAATCTGGCTCCTGGGCCCACTCCCCATGAGAGCGGAGGCAGGGTTGGAAGAATCATGGACAACCTTTTACAATCCCCGGGACCATTTGCAACCTTTCTGGGCCTGCTGANCAACAGGCCCAGGACACAACACCCCTCCCCCCTAGATAGAACGCACACACAATTCCAATTTCTTACAATAATAATAAAAGAAAAGAAAATAATATTCCACTCCATACAACACCCTTCTATAACTAATAGGGTTGGCTAACCAACCACTCTCTAATGTGGCTTCGCGTGTCTATCTATTTTCCCAACGTAGGTTCATCTCCATGACTTAGACTTGTAAGGTCCCTTGTGTTGACAGGAATCTCACATAATTGCCTAGATGCTTAGGAGGGGCCTTAGCCCTTTGTGACCTACGCAAGGTTAGGGAGGGGGCCTGGCTTGTCAGCTCACCTGCTCGGCTAGGCAGACCAGGACTTGTACTTAAGGGCACCTGGCCTACAGGCCCATCTGATGGGCTCACTAGAGAAGGACTTTTATGCACATGTTTTGCAGGTGAGCCCTGGTGAGGCGTACTGGCGAATTTGCCAGAGCTCTTTCCAGGCTCCTGTAGAGCAGCTGGAATTCCCCAACCTTCAGAATTGGCTGAGGATTCCCCAACTACCCTGGATGGCTCCCCAACTACCCTGGATGGCTCCAGGGAACTAAATCCCTTGAGCCCGCAACCAGTGTCGGACGTGAACTTCGTTGCAGAAGTACCCCAATCGTTCTAGTCCCCAGTGGCTGAAGTGCCAGAGTCAGTAGCGCCTCTATGGCAAACTCCCCCTCAGGTGAATTCCTGTTTGGAGCTCTTGCGGATATG